AGATAGGAGTTTATATGCCACCTGCTGGTCCCTTTACTTATTTTTCATGCTATACCTTTTCTAAACAGCAACAGAAGAAAAATGCAAAAAATATATAGGCAAGCTGGGGTAGATACTATGCAGTGAACACTTGGGATCCCTATCAGAGAATCAGATTTCAATCTCTGCATAATTATTCACATCAATACAATAGAATTAGAAATGTGAAGACTTATCTCAAGAAGATTCAGTCATCTCAACAAAGTCCTTTTTAAAAGTGTTTATTAGTTTTTGCTATAGAACATATGTGCTCACTGGAGAGAGATAGAAGGAGAAAGTGAGAAAGCACCCCCAGGGGGGATGGCCACACCACAGTTCTCCATTCTCCACTGAGAATTTTGGACACACACCCATGCACACCTGGCATGATTCTGAAGCCACAGGGTTCAGGATTCAAAATGAAGCTGGTCATTTGGGATCTTGCCACCTTAACCTTTGTGCCACCTGCTGGCCCAACAAAATCCTTTCAAAGATCAGTCATCAGACTCCTTTTGACTCCAAAGGAAAGGAATACAAACACTGCTGTTCCTAGGGAGCCAATCCTCTATAGTTAATCTAGTCAAACCACATAGCTCTATATAATAACAGTGTTGTAACTACACATCAGGGAGGAGGTGCCAAACATACCTACTGCATAAAATTCACTTTATTATAATATATATTAAATTTAAAAACATAGAATTCCCTGGGGGATAATAAAATCAGGAATGTTACAGTAACTTGAGCCATCCAGGCATAATTGCTAACCAATAAAAATGAACTATTCCATAATACTCTCAGTTTTCATTAAGTATTGGTTTATAAGGCTTTGTTCTGTTGTTTGCTTTGGTTAAAACAAAGTCTTTAAAACCAATACACCATATCTGTCAGCATAATGAAGGAATTTTGTGTGTAGAAAGCTGTCTAGGTTCTAGCTATGGGGAAAAGCAGAGAGCACAAGCCACAGGAGTGTCATTGTGGCACAATAGTTCTTGGGACTGGATTGACTAGGCCTTACCAACAGACCTTGAAAAAACACAGGTAAAGATGGAGAAACAGAAGTGAATGTCTTGAGGAACCAGTAGATGGCATAATGATTACATTGCTGGATTCCCACCTAATCAACCATGGTTTGGTTCAAGTCCCAGACCCAGCAGCTTAAAACTTATGCCAGGCACATGTGCATGGATGCCTAAAATCCCAAGAGATGACTGGAGGAGAAGGGATTGAGGTGTGGCCATTCCCCCACCCCTCACGGGTGTCTCTCTGTCTGTCTCTTCAGCAAGTGCATGTGCCCTATAGCAAAAAAAAGTAAAAGCAAATGAAAGTCTTGACCAGTGAGGACTTTTGAAAGAAGTCAGAGCACAAAGGAGGGTTGACAATGGAAGAATAGCAGTAGTTAGAACTTGGAAGTAAAAGATAAAGTAAAACGAAGCTTCACAAGGCCTGAATCAACTAAAACTAAGTTCAAAACTAAGACTATGAATGACAAAGTGTGCTAGAATATTCCCCAACCTCCTTAAATTAGCAATTTAATTTATACCAATAATTTATGGCCAAAGGACCAAAACAACAACAACAACGATAATACTACTAATAATAATCATAATGTTTTCTTCCTGAATTCTAGGCAACTTCTAAACACAAGCAACAAGTGGATACTGTCACAGAAGCCAGAAATACTCAGAAATATTTTGTTCTCTCTGCAAACATACGTAAGAATCAAAAAGTGGCTTGGTAAGTGAGGAATCAGCACAAGGAAATTCAAAGACTAAAGTCACAATTGCATTTACTCTCCTACAGCATCTTCATTAGGGTTAGATTTGTCATGGAGACCAGAAATGTTGGCAGTCCTATGGGATTCAGAGGCTGTGAAAAAGGGAGAATCCAGGAGTCTAGTTATTCAGTTTCTATAGCCTAGGCAATGTATAGGATTTCACAGTTTTCTTTTTGTAAACTGGTGATTTTTTTTCAAGTTTAATGCATTTTTCGTAGAACCCAAAAAAGCTCCTAGACTCTTGGCATTGGATCTATAGTATTCAATGGGTAAAATGGTCCTATCGGGACCAGCAGTTAGTGTAATGGCTATGTTGCTGGACTCACATCTAGTCGACCATGGTTCGAGTCCTGGACCTGGTGGCTTAAACTCACGCCAGGTGCATGTGCGTGCGTGCCCAAGGTCCCAAGAGGAGAACGGAGGAGAAGGGATTGCGGCGTGACCATCCCCCCTGGGGGGTGATTTCTCGCTTTCTGTCTCTCTGTCTCTCTCTGTCTTTCTGGCAAGCACATGCACCCTATAGCAAAAACCTCTCCAAAAATAAATAAATAAATAAATAAATAAAATAAAATGGTCCTGTCTGTCATAGCCTCAGCCATTCCTGATAGAATTAAAGGAGCTGGGGACCAGCAGGTGCCATGGTGGTTAAGGTGCTGGATTCCCACATGGCTGACCACAGTTTTAATCCTTGACCTGACATCTTGAAAAGCACACTGGGCACATATGCATGTGTGCCCAAAATCCCAGGAATGGAAGGGATTGTGGTGCGGCCATCTCCCTGGGGGGCGATTTCTCACTTTCCTCCTCACTGTCTCTGTCTCCCTCTCTCTCTGCAAGCACATGCACCCTATGGCAAAAATCTTTAAAAAAAAAAAAAAGAAAAAGAAAAGAATTAAGGGAGCTGCAGTTATGGTTACTAGGATTAAGCTACCAGTGGAGGTGCCATGGGAGAAGGAATAAAACTATATCCCCAACACCTACGTAGGATCTGGCTTATAATAGGTGAAGAAAAGTATTTAAAAATTAATGAACAAATTAAAAGTTAAAAGTCAAAGTAGAAGGGGAATGAGGAAACTAGATTTAAGTAAACAAAACCCCAAGAAACCAGAACCCAGGAAATTGAGTTAAGGAGGAAAGGATCTAGCACCAAGAAACCAGCACCCAGGTCTAATTAGAGCAGTGGACTCTCAAGTTTCCTGTTGAACCAGGGTGGCATTATATTTCTAGACATATTTTCCCAACGTCTTAGGAAAATTTCAAAACATACAACTAAGTTGAAAAACTTTTATAGTGAACACCATATATCTACTGCCTTGACTCTATCATTAACATTTTAATATTATAGCTTTATTAGTCTTATTCTTTTTTCTTTTCTTTTCCTTTTTCTTTTCTTTCCTTTTTTTTCTTTTCTTTTCTTTTTTTTGGAGAGGTTTTTGCTGTAGGGTGCATGCACTTACCAATAAGACGGAGAGAGACAGAGAAACAGAAAGTGATAAATCAACCCCCCCTGGGGGGGGAGGGAGATGGCCACACCGCAATCCCTTCTTCTCCATTCTCCTCTTGGGATCTTGGGCATGCACGCACACGCGCCTGGTGTGAGTTTAAGCCACCAGGTCTGGGACCCAAACCACAGTCAACACATTGGGAGTCCAATGACACAGCCATTATACCAACTGCTGGTCCCCATTCTTATTCATTTTTATATTCACTCATCAACTAATGTTTTGTTTTTGTTTTTGTTATATGGCATGTGCACTCTCCAGAGACAGAGAGAGGGAAAATGATAAATCACTCCTCGTGAGGGACGGCCATGCCGCAGTCCCTTCTTCTCCATTTTCCTCTCGGGATTTTGGGTATGCACACACACACACACACACACACACACACACACACACCTGGTGTAATTTTCAAGCCACCATATCTGGGACATAAACCATGGTCAGCCATGTGAGGGTCTAGTGCATTAATCACTATGCCAACTGCTGGCCTCAATTCATGTTATGTTTTTAAATACATCTCAGAGTAAATTATAGAGGTGATTCTGTGGTAAAGTCAAAAAGCATTGCTCAAGAGACGCTGGATAACACATGACAACCATGGGTCAAAAACCCCAGCCTTGTCAGCCTGAAACAGTTTGGGCACACATACAAGGGCCCAAGATCCAATGAGCTGGAGGACTGGAGGAAGGGGTTCATGTTGTGACTAGACCCTGTGGAGCATGCTTGCCACCTCTCTGATGTACATGCATGCTATCGTGAATAAACGTCAGTGAACATCAATACGTTGAATGAAATAAATATTAGATTGAAATATTCGTTGATTTTTAAATTTTGAAGCACAATTTATATGAAATCCACAAATCTTAAATGTAAGTTCTGAAATCTTAATAACTGCCTACACCTGTATGCCCCAAATTCCTATCAAGATATAGAACACTGCTATTATCTCAGAAACTTCTCATAATTTCTTAGTGTTATTTTTATTTTTATTTTTTTTTGAGGGACGGGGGTTGAAGGGGAAAGGATTTTAGACATGTTGAAAATTCAGCGTGCTCTGATTATAGCTTTGAATTTCTGAGGAGGGCTGGCCTGTGCCTGATGATCAAGATGGCTGGATACCACACAGCTGACTACATGGTTCAAGTCCCAGACTCTGTGGCTTTCATATATACCTCCATTGACAAACACACAGATGGAAGGGGCTCCCTTACCCCTGTCCTGTTTCTTGAAATTCAGACTCCCTGAATATTAATGCCAGGGACCACACTGCTCTGATTAGCTTTCTGTACTTTTCCTAGTACAAAGGCAAATTAAATTCTTAAAATCAATAAGCTGGGCCAATGGGTGGTGTGAAGATTAAGGCACTGAGTCCCCTTATGGCCAACTTGGCAGTTTGAGTCTTGGACCTGGCAGCTTGAAAAACGCGCTGGGTGGACGTGTGTATTTTTCCAAAATCCCAAGAGAAAAATGGAGAAGAGATTGCGGAGTAAACCTTCCCTCTCCCCATCTCCCCGACCCGGGGTGATTTCTCATTTTCCCTTTTTCTCTTCAGCAAGTGCACAAATCCTATGGCTGAAATCTTTAAAAAGACAAAAATAAGACAAAAAAAAAAAAAAACCAATAAGCCAGTTAAGTCTTTTTTCTCCTCAAAAGTTATGTGTTGGAAACCATTCAAAATTATATAAGAAAATAAATATTTACATTACCAGACTTGATCTTCTTTTAACTAGCAGTTTGCTGTGCAACATCACAGATGCCGTTTCTGGCTTTAGAACACGGAACTTTAGTCACAGTTGTGCAGTACCTGGACATTGTGATGTCGTTAAAATACTATATTAAAATACTTTTTAAAAACTTGCACTTTGGAGGTCAGTCCCATGGTTTGGCTGGATCCTACATGATTCACTGTGAATTGAGTCCTTGCCCAGTAGATTGAGAGACATGTAAGGTGTGTGTGTATGCATGCCTAAAATCCCAACAAGATGTACAAATGGAGGAGAAGGGATTGTTGCATGACTACATCCCATTGAAGGTTGCCTGCTCCCTTTCCCTCTCCCTCTCTCTTTGTTTCTTTCTCTGGCAAGTTCATGCACCCTCTGGCAATTAAAAAAGAAAAAAGTTATACTATGGAAAATTTAAATCATTCACAAAAATAGAATAACAAATCCCCATACCACCCATAACCCAATCCCAACGAAGATAATCTTCTTAGTAAAAGTCAGTTCAGAGTCACCCATGTGGTTGTATTAACTCTATAATAGGTTCCTTTTCATTGCTAAGTAGTGTTCCATTGTATAGTTTGCCACAGTTTCTTTTTCTATTCACTTGATTACTTGTTTGGGGGCAGTTATGAATAAATATTCATGTACAGGTTTCTATGTGAATAGAAATGTTCACTTCACTTGGATAAGTATCCAAGAGAAGGATTGAAAGGTCATATGATAAGTATATGTATAACTTTGTATGAAATTGCCAAATTATTTTTTCAAAGTGGCTGTACCATTTTGTATTCTGGCAAGTAATAAATGAAAATGTCTGTTGTTCCACATCACAGCCAGAATTTTATATTCAGTTCTTTATTTTGGCCATTCTAATAAATGTGTAACAGTATCCCCTGTTGTGGAGAGTGGCCAGTTTGAGCAAACATGGACATTAGATACATGCAGAAACGTGCTTCCATGAGCTTCATTTGCATGGCTATGGAGGCATTTGCATACAAAAACCTTATCTGCCTATTATTGTCAGCTATCTGCCTGTTGTTGTCCATACCCTACTCGATAAGGATCTTTGCAATATCAGGCTAAAGGAAGCTGCATGTGTTTATCAGATTTTGCCCCAGAAAGATCAGAGAAATTACATGGTACCAGTCGTTTTCGCATCTTCAGATGATTTACATCCAAAAGGAACTGACTTTGCATCCATTTCCTCTTTCTCCATTTTCTATCCTTTAAAAGAATAAATCTGAGGCCAGTTCCTGGTAGCAGCTTTCTCCATCAGAGAAGTTGGGCCCACCCAATCCTTGCTTTTCTATACTTTTGCATCTTTGTGTGTTTGTTATTACTTTTATTTCTAATCCACAGCCTCCCCACTCAGAAAAAATGTGTTCAGCTGAGCAGTTCTGGGCACCCTGTGGCTTTAATTTACATATGCCTAATGGTTAATGATGTTTAGCATCTCCCCATATGTTTATATGCCAGTCACATATCTTCTTTGGAGAAGTATCTTTTAATATTTTGCCCATTTTCAAACTTGCTTTATTTTTAAGAATTATTTTATCTTTATTTATTTATTTTAATTTGACCAGAGAGAGAAAGAGAGAGAGAGAAAGTGAGAAAGCAAGCCACCAGGTCCAGGACTCGAACTGTGGCTGACCATGTGGGAGTCCAGTGCCCCAACCACCACACCACCTGCTGGCCCCCAAATTGTGGTTTTAAAAAATTGTTAAGATTTAAGGGTTTTTTAAAAATATATGTTGGGTACAAGCACTTTATTGGTTATGTGATTTGCAAATATTTTCTCCACATCTATTGCTTATCTCTTCATTCTCTTCACAATTTCTTTGACTAAACAAATTTTTTTATTTTCATAAAATTCAATTTCTTAATTTTTTCTTCTATGGTTTATGCTTTCAGTGTCATATCTACAAACTCTTCCCCAAAGTCAAAATCAACTTCACTTTCCTCTAAACATTTTAAAGATTTTTAAATATATTTTTTATAATTACTTAATTTTACTTATTCATTCATTTATTTTATTCTTTTTCTTTTTTTTGATGTTTTTGCTATAGGGCGCGTGTGCTCACCAGAAAGACAGAGAGAGACAGAGAGACAGGAAGCGAGAAATCACCCCCCAGGGGGATGGCCATGCTGCAATCCCTTCTCCTCCATTCTCTTCTCAGGATCTTGGGCACACATGTTCATGCGCCTGGCAGGAGTTTAAGCCATCGGGTCCGGGACTCGAACCGCGGTCAACGATATGGGAGTTCAGCGACATAGTCATTAAGCTAACTGCTGGTCCCACATTCGTTTATTTTAATTTGACCATAGAGAGACACAGAGAGAGGAAGAGTGAGAAAGCAAGCTGTCAGGTCCAGGATTCAAACCGTGGTCGGCCATGTGGGAGTGTCCAGCACCTTAACCACCACGCCACCTGCTGGTCCCTTATTAATATATTTTTTAAATAATTATTTTATTGGGGCCAGCAGGTAGTATGGTGGTTAAGGGCACTGGAAGAGAGAGAGAGAGAGAAAGAGGGAGAGGGAAAATGAGAAAGCAAGCTGCCAGCTCTGGGACTTGAATCATGGTCTCCCATGTGGAAGTCCAGCATCCTTAACCACCAGCCACCTGCCAGCCCCTATATTAATATATTTTACATTTAATTTCCACCAGCAATGAATAAGCATTCTTGTTGATTCATATCCTTGCCAACATTTGACATTATCAGTGTTTTGGAATTTGGACATTCTTTTTTTTGGTGGGGGGGGGAAGGATTTCATTATTTGTTTAGATGTTCAAACTCTCACTCTCATTTTTTTTTTTTTGGAGGTTTTTGCTATAGGGCACATGTGCTCACCAGAAAGACAAGAGAGAGACAGAGAGATGGAAAGTGAGAAATCACCCCCCGGGGGGATGGCCACATTGCAATCCCTTCTTCATTCTCCTATCGGGATCTTGGGCATGCATGCACATGCGTCCAGCATGGGTTTAAGTCACCAGGTCAGGGACTCAAACCACAGTCAACTACGTGGGAGTCCAGCAACAAAGCCATTATGCCAACTGTTGGTCCCTCTCACACCAAATTTTTATGAAGTGGTGAGCACTGACCAATTATTTCTCCCACAGAACTATAACCATACATTTCCAGACTGTATAAATATATGGTTGGACTAACATTAATACACATCACCATTTTACCAATTGCATAGTAAAGCAAATTATCAAATATCCACATAATAAGTTACACAGCTCAAAGGGTATATAAAATATTAGAAGTCTGCTGGTATTTTGCTATTACAAACTATGTCTCAATGAATAAGCTGCATCATTCCATATGTGTGCAGGTATAAGAATTCACCATTTAAAAAACATTCTAGTGGCACCAGCAGGTGGCATGGTGGTTAAGGCACTGGATTCCCACATGGCCAACCACAGTTCAAGTCCCGGACCAGACGATCTGGGAATCATACCAGGTGCATATACATGCATGCCCAAAATCTTGACAGGAGACTGGAGGAGAAAATATTGTGGTGTGGCCATCACTACTGGGAGGTGATTTTTCACTTTCCCTCTCTCTCTGTGGTGAGTACATATGCCTTATGGCAACAAAGTCTAGCTAAGTGATATCTTTCCTCTCCTTATTAAAGTAACCAAATTTAAACTACTAGTGTTAAAAATGTGAACTTTGAGGGACCAGCAGTTAGCATAATGGCAATGTCGCTGGACTCCCATATAGTTGACCACAGTTTGAGTCCTGGACCCAGTGGCTTAAACTCACGCTGGGTATGTGTGCATGCATGCCCAAGATCCCAAGAGGAGAATGGAGGAGAAGGGATTGTGATGTGGCCATCCCCGCTTGAGGGTAATTTCTCGCTTTCTGTCTCTCTGTCTCTCTCTGTCTTTCTGGCGAGCACATGTGCCCTATAGCAAAAACCTCTCCCCCCAAATAAAAAATAAATAATAAAATTTTTTTTTAAATGTGAACTTTGAACCTCCTCTCAGTGCTATCAATGAATAATGATTCAGAATTTTTGCCCCCATCAGATTAAAGTTTTAGTTTCTACTATTTGAAAGTATGAAAATGATCAGGTATCTGATATTAATGCCAAATTGCTTTGTTCTCACTCAGTTGACAGCAATCAAAACCAGAAACTTTGTTCCAGTGTTGGTCCTACTTGCTCCCTTTCTAGCATTGTCCAGGTAGATCCACACACGGTAGGTAACTGCTACTGTAGGGCATAAACTAAATACCTGATCTTCCTTCTCTGCCAGGTAAGACAGCAGTTGTGCGGTGGGATGCAACTGGGAAGACACCAAATTATGTCAGAAAGGTAAATGCAGTAGTCTAAAACCAGGTTCTGGTTCAAAGATTGTAAGAATAATTCTTCCCTGGAATGATAGCATATGTCCAGGGACATAGTGATTTATCACAGTGATTTGGAGGGTGGAAGCAGTACTGGTATTTAATGGACAGGAGCCACATGGGACAGTCCTGTCCAAGAAGTAATTTTCCCATGTTGTGTTGAAAATGGCATGCTGAAAATCCATGAAGGTGAAAACCTCTATCATAATCCAAATCTGAAAGTAAACTCCTTTTACATATGAACACGTAATAAAAATATATTTATGAAATTTTTCAAGAAGGCAACAGTCACATAAATCAAGGGAAAATAGCATTTTGATACATTCAAACTTTATCAAAACTGTTCACTATTTTAGAAAATCACTTCTCCAATTAAAAAATTGTTCATGATATGTGAATCACCAATATACCAGTATGAATCCACATTTGTGCTGTCACCTTTATGGTAAAGAGATAGGTAGGTACATAGGTAGATAGCTAGAGATAGCAATATGTACATTTAGTATAGATATACAATAAATATATCTATGAATATTTTTATTTAGCTCTTATTTCAAAATGTCCATTATGAAAGAGGTGGTATGGAAACAGTAAATGGCCTAATGGTTACGTCACTGGACTTCCACATAGTTGACCACGGTTTGAGTCCTAGACCTGGTACTTAAAACTCACACCAGGCATGTGAGTGTTCATGCCCAAAATCC